AGATCATTCCTTAAAGTTCTAAAAAAAAAATTTATTTTTGACCACGTTATAACCGACATGAAATTATATTGCTCTTGTGGGCTTTTGGTCGTTCCAGCTTATAATCTGCGTGAAAAGCCAAAATGGCGTTATGACCGAAGTCGAGAAAGTTAAAGCTGAGCATATATAATAAAATTCCCCTTACTAAAGATAGCGTCATACAAATTAAATTTTAACTAAAATCTCTTCTTTATAAGGTAGCTGAAGAAAAAGATAACATCTATGTACAAAAGTTTTAGTAGAACGTTAATCTGACTAGCCCATAATCGATTAAAAGAACCATTACATTTTATTATTTAATATTAAAATATTTTTTATATAATTTGACACAGCGGCGTAAATATAAAAGAAAAAATTATAACTTTTAAACTCAAGTATGCAATAAAGAAAGTAACTATTATGCACAAAATTTTCATCTAATTATTTTAAATAATTATCCACTGAAAAGAGTGATATAAAAATAGTATCGTTATATATTGTTCCTTATAAACTATATAGGATACTGAATATTATAAAAAATGAAAATTGCAGAAAAACATAATGACGCAGAATAGTCTCAAGTAAAACATTTAGTAAAACTAATGATAGGGCTGAGCAACATCAACTATAAATAACTGTGATAACATTAATAATGACTGTAAGTTGGCTTATAATTATAAGATGTTCCAAAAAAATTATCCACCTACTGGGATTTAAAGTTCGTTCCCTATAAATTATTTTAAATGCCATGTAAATGCAGGAGACAAGGGGCAGGCGATTCACTACCATTAAAACCCTATAAGAGTTATATTTAGTTAAATATATATTTCAACCTGTGTACACCTAGTAAGGAAGCAACTGGAATGAATCAATGCACACGTCTAGGATTGATCAATAACCTTAGCTTCCGACACAACTAGTCTCCACTTACCTCCTCTAGGCCAAGACCTCCGATTCAACAAGGATAAACGTATCTGCAGAATTAAAAATATTAGCACTAGGATCAAGCAGCAGGTTAACTAGTATATCAAGAACGCTTGGCAGCACATGAGTTAGTAGATAATCGTTTTGCTTAATGTTCCTTACGGTCAAGGCACTACATAGAACCTTTTAAAAATGCAACTGTTTATTAAGGGTTTTCCCACTTTATAGGAAGTTCTTCCAGACTCAGTGTACTATATTAATATAATAATTAGGAGAAGTATCACTTCCGCGGCTCCCCTCATACCTTAAGTTCGACAAATTAAGCAGAGCAGCCTTAGTCGCAATTCAAAATAAGAGAATTATTTTATTTAGAGGGTTTGTGTGCGCTCTCAAAAAATTTGCTAGCTTCAGTTCAGTATTTATTAAAAAATCAAGGCCAACTCGCACATTTTTGCGCTTTCAGAGAGCCTTACCAAGGACTAAGCCGTGTTTCTGTGTTAGTTGACTTTTTCCCCAACCTAAAGAGGTTATGCTATAACTAATTAATAATTAGAATGTTTCTTAAAAATTCGACAATAAAACTATGTTACGGTTAGACACGATATAACTAGAACTTGGTGAGACAAACTATATTTTAATTTTAACTTCGAAGTTAATAAATTTAAAAGTTTAAAAAAATAAACTTGTAAAATAAACTAAAAATATAAAGGAAATATAACTGTGAGAGAAAATAAAATCGCTTAGATACTTTAGCAATCATTACCTAATTAAAAATGGTAGCTCCTGGTGCTTGAACCTGGTCAAGAAACACTGAGTTGTCAAAATCTTACACAGGTTAACACCGTGCAAAAAAAATAGTTTTGGATTAAATTTAAGAAAATTTCTTATCGAATTTTTTGGTTTCTTCTAACCTTAACTTCTATTCTGGCAAAAATTTAAAAAGCATTACGAGGACAGCTTGCAGTTTGCACCTTCCCATGATGGATAAATAAGCTCTCTTGCCATCAGTCTTAAGTTTGTTTACTTATTCGTTCGTAGAATAAGATAGCATTACGTAGAAAACGATACCCAGAATCCGCCCAAAATAAAGCTTGCCTGCCATGACACGTAGAAGCTTGTTTTACCTTATTCAAGCAAGAATATTCTTGATGAGCAAGGAATAGGTCCGGGCAGCAAACGTATAGATATACACATTACGTTCAAGCACATCTTTTCACGTAAAAAAAAAGATATAAATAGGTTAAGCCGTCCCTTGACCTTTGCCACTATATGTTCTGCTCGTTATTAATGAAGGATTCAGATATTTAGACCTAGAACACTAGGAGATTAAAGTGCCAAAATAAATTAGCGGCAGTGCTTTTGAGATGCGTTTGTTAGTGATTAAAAAAAGCTTTGCTCTTCGTCGCGTTAACAAAAAAAGTCGGTAAGTGTGAGTAGATAGCTCTGTAGACGCTGGCAAAGTAGGGCAAGCAACTTTGACGGCGCGTAGGTCGTCGTCCGCGTGTAAGGCGACCCAGGTGTAAGAGTTGTCGAAAGGGTTCGCGTACATCAAGCGCGAGGGCAAGAATGATAGGAAATCTTTGCGTAACCACCGCTGCTTGTATTTCAGGTGACTTTGCATCTCTCACGTGTTGCTAAAAATGTGGTCCTATAAATAAAAGACTTGAGAAACTCAAAAAGGTCACGAGGGGAGGCTATGGCACGCAGTTCATAAAGCAAGACCTAGTGCCGGATTCAGTCCAACGGTTTTTTAACTCCAAGAAAGGTGTTTGTAGCCATTTTAAGACACCCGGGCATCCCTCTGTCAGATGTAAAAGCTGCTGCGTTCTTGAGTGACCTAGGTCAATTTTAAACTATAATTAATGTCAAAACGCGTCGCAAGAGTGAACAAATACTTACTAGCTGCATGACATTACGGCTTCTGCTATCTTGCTGGCAAGAACCGTTATTTGTTTGGCGTAAAGACTGGCCAAATTTCTTTGGTAGCATTTTAATGACAGTCGCTGAGAAACATTGTCGCGATGATTTCTCGCCATCAACGATTTTGATTGCTTTAACATCACATAAGGGTTGTCGTCTGAACAAGGTGTCTTGCGTTTCTTAGAGCTTAAAAGATTTCTTGAAATGTCAATCCCTGTATCGCTTGGTTACAGGCCGAAAAGGCGCTTTTCGTCAAATAACCTTCCCTGATTATTTTCGAAAACTACAATCAAACTAAATAAATTATAAAAAAGAGAAAAAAAACTAAATCTTTCATACTCACGGCTAAAAATAAATTGTTTTCGATTTATTATCTTTTCATAAATTGCCAAAAGGAGTAGCGACCGTCATCGCCCATCTTCCACATTGGCTTAACTAGGTAATCTATCGCTGTAGCGACCACTCAAATGACGCGATCGAGACTCGCAGGTAACCGCTTCCAGTTCGACAGCGGAGCCATAAAGGACTATTTGTATTTCGCGGCGGTGTGGTAAACACTCTAAGGGTAAATATGACCATTAACACAGGACTCGACTAATTGGGTCCAGTCCATCAAGTTGTAAGCGAACTTAAGTGTCTCCTTTTCGTTGCTTATCCCAAGTAAAGGTTATAAATGTTCTAATTACAGATTGTAAAAGGAATCATTGCCCTTAGAAAAAACAATTTTTAAGATAGGGCTATCTCATCATGTACGATGTATACTGTGGCCCAAGAATGCACGGTCCGCGTTTGTAAGCAAAAGTTATAAGAATGCAAGAGCTTGAATATAAGACGCGGCTGTTCCAAGTGGGGTATTTACAGTTAAGGACCCTGTTTCGGTATAGAACAGCTAAAGGACTCTTTTGAAGAAGGGCAATAACTCGAAATCAACGACTAGCTCATGGACTTCTGAGATGTAGTCACGGGCACAAGATAACCTTGACTACTAATGCTTTGCAGGGGTGGTAGAGTTACTGAATCATATTAAATGCTTCGCTTGACCAAAAAAGTTGTACTCCTATCTCTTTTATCTATTAGATCCTGGCGGTATAGCGAAAAATTGCAGAAACGAATAAAACGCTGGGGGACAGCGGATTCTCTTTGATAATACACAACTTAATTTACCATACCTCAATTAATTCTGCATATTATGTTGCCTGCGTTGAACGCCAGCTGCGTTTCTAAATAGAATTCGCATATGGTGGCTAGACTCTGCTCTAGAGACCATTGCAAATGCTATTTAGGTCCTTGTCTAGCTCAAACAACGTTTATAAGTTTGTTGTTGCAACTGCCAGAAGAGAACCAAGTGAGTGGGGTAGAAAATCGTCGAAGTTATACTAAAAGGAGAAAACTTCAAGCTGTGGCACTCTAGTTTTATCGAGATTTGTATCCTTCGCGGGTTATGTTTGCGGCTAGGATAGTTGACTGTATGCCTTGCCCCAATTCACATCAGGTTTGCGGGTGGGATTTAGTAAACTGCAATAAGGTGGTTTTCACCACACTTTACGCTAGCGCGGTAGCATACCCCTGCGTAATTACCTGGTACCGACGTTGCTCCTCCGCAGCGTCTCGATTCGAACTTGCAAGTAAAAGACGGTCTTCGGGGCTTCTGTCTACCACTTTTGTTATAAGTATTAGCGTCAATGGCAGCGGTCGCTTATAGTGCCTTCCTTTATGTGAGTCTTCCATGAGCTTGAGAAGGGGAGCGATACCTTGAAGACTGACAAATTTAATGGTTTTTCCTTCTTTTAGTGGTCAAGTAAGGTGCAGTATCTTTTTTTACCCGTAAACCTCTGTAACTAGTTTAGACCTTCGGCGCTTACCCCAAGATCTTCACAGTACGTATTGTTCCAGCACAAAAATAAATAGGTACAATTTATTAATTCATTGGTTTAATACAAGTTACATTTAACAGTGGGCGCTCGTTAGGAGATGGCAGTGTCTGTTTCTAACAAAGCTTTGACTTTAGTCGTAATCTTTTGTCCAACCTTGTAAAACCATAGCTAAGTTTTTATGGTATTTTTATACAATTTTATATGAAAATAGACGGCCTTTTTACTATTAGAAGTTGTTGGAAGTTTGCTGCCGTTTGTCAGTTTTTAAATTTTTATAGAGGAAAACTTAAACTCGCCTATAAATTAGATTTGATTGTACTTACCTTCTTTTTACCTGAATAGTTATTTGTGTACTTTTCATTTGACAAACTAAGGAATTTGAGAAAGGTTTTGTTAATGAGAGTGAGCATTTTCTATTTGCTGACGTGCATGTCAAACTTTTAAGACTTGCAACTAATAGTGAAGAGATAAGCTACACAGACAGAATAAGGTGCCTCAGTCGTATTATCCTTTTACCCTTATTGTTTGTAATTTAAAATTATAATAACGTTGCTTCTTTTTCTGCAGAGACTTATTTTGGAAAAACGTTATCATAGCTCTCGTGTTAAAATATTTATCAATAAAATCTTCAAATTGTATTGATAAAAAATATATTGGTATGTCATAATTTTTTTAAAAAGTTCAATCGGAAGTCTTTTATTAAGGTAAAGTGAGGCTTTCCAGTGTATTGTTTGGACTCAGTCATCGTTTTTGTTAAGTGGTAGAGCTGAAAACTTTTGTTTTTTTGGACCCACTGTGTTTGTAAAATTCATTTTAGGCACGGGTAAATTTATTAGTAAAACTTACTAAAGCGTTTTTTGAAATATTTTTATCCTATGTACTATATTTATCATATTTAATTGTATAGTACTTTTTCTTATGGCTGGCAAGCTCAATATTATTTCTATCTTTTTTGGGCTTTTTTTTTTTACTTAGTTTGGTTCGCCTGCGTTTTGCAGTAAAAAGTTATTGCTAATTTATAACTTATGAGTTTGTAGAATTCTTTTCGTTGGTTTTTTTTTTAAATAGTTCTTTAAAGTTTTTTGTTTGCTACATGAAAAGTTTGCGTATACCTTTGTCTTTACTTTTTGTTTAAAGAAGTTTTTCGAATTTTACTTCCAATTGAGTCTCAAAGCCGCCATAACAACCACTTAACCGTTCAGTTTTATAGACTTTTAGTTGTTGGCTTGATTTATTAAGGCTTTCTGGTCTATTTTCTCTCTTTATATATTTTATAGAGATTAAATAATTATAGTTTTTTTCGAATTGAATTGCTTTCCCTTACAGCTGCGGAAGAACTAGAATTTATTCACATATTAGAAAAAAACAGCTACGGGGATTTGAACAGTCTTCAAAAGGTTTTAATTTTTTTAAATAATTTGCCCAGTTATAATACTGATTTATAATTAGGTTGCTCTTCTTTATCACATGTGTTCGTTGGCTTCTGAAACTGAACTATTTCGAGAATTTGCCGACGAACTCATCGGTTTTGATCTTCTGGTTGTATAAAATCTACCTTACATTATGTAATTTTGACCTTTATTAAATTAGCGAGGAGTAATTATTGGAGAGGACCGTTTTAAACGAAAGTATTGGTACTTAGGAGGTACTATTCACTATTTTTTGCTTATCAACTGTTATTTTTATTATTTTATTAGATCTTCGCCTGTACAGGGAAACTCTGCCTGTTAAAGCTATCAAAAGAAAAGTCAGCGGAAAGAATTTGCAGGTGAGAAGAAGACTTATTCTGCTTTTGTGATTTATAGCGCTCTTTACAAGTCCATTAATTTTATTGAAGTCCTGGGAGGTCGTGTGTGCCACTTCTCATGACTGGCTAGCGTTTACTGGAGAATTGGAGAACTCGAGGAATGCCGAGGAAAAAAGTCTTCTGAGGTACCACCCACTTCCCGTTAGTAAGTCTTCGTTAGCGATAGCGTTCTTTAGATACGTGAAACAGCAGCTTATGGAATCCGTTCTTGCATCTTTAAAGGTTATTATTTTTATCATCTCGATCTGCTTGCTTGTACCTCACACCAGCCGGCATGCCAGCGCGTCGAGTATCAACGGCGCACAGGCCATGGCCACCACCAACCACTAAAGCGCTCTGCAAGGATCCAGCAGCACGTAAACCCTCTGCTTAACGATAGGTCTAACCCACCTTATAAAATCTCGGTACATTTAGCTTCTGCAGAAGAAAGAGGAGGAAGAGTTTTTATTTTTAAAAAAAGAGGAAGAAAAACTTGCGCGTTTGCAGAAGGTTATTCTACTGCCTATTAAAAATTCTTAGTTTTAAAATGTTTTACAATTTTTTTTAGGCTAAAGAAGAAAAACTATTAAATAAAATCATGAAACTCGCCGGATCGCAGGAAGACTACGAAAAATGGATGGCCATGCTTCCTTTAGTTGATATGGTACGTATGGTGGTTAAAGTTATTAAAGGGCATTACTTTTGATTCATTCAGGAACGCCTACGTCACGAGAAAGAAGAAAGAACTCGGTTGGAACTTCTTGAAAAAGAACTTAAAAGATTAGAGCGAGCGGAAAGGTACGTTGTTACGGATTCACTTTTACTTATATATTTACGTCTTCAAGGTTGGCTAGGCGAACGCAAAGCCTCTACTTTGAAGGTCAGGGACCCACTTCGCTTTTACCAGGGAGGTGTAGTGACCCAAATGGAGAAAGTGATAGCCAGAGCACACCGCCCCAGACAGCCACCATTCCTCAATATTGTGACCTCTCTGTAACGAAGCTACCGTAAAAATAATGATTAGCATAGCTATACACCCCGCCTTCAACTAAAGGCTTAAAATTTAACCTCAGCAGAGGAAATATATTAACAACCAGATAAATAGAACTTTATCATGCTAGTAGTTATTCAATATAAAAATAGTTGTGGTTTTCACAAAAAATATTAAATCTTTCTAACCAGTCTATTTGTTTAAACGAAATTACCAGAGTCGAAAGCTGAATATAGTTTTAAAACCATGTAGAAGTAATACAAGTGTTAGGTTTCTAAATATTTTCGAAAACGGTTATAACTAGCCCACTTCTCTAAGCAAGCCTAAAAGTTTTGAGTACGACAGCTCTTTAGGGATCTCTAATCCGTTCTGCTAGATATTTTTTTAAAAAATTAGAAGTGTAATTAAGGACAGGAAATATTCATTGAAGAAAATCTATCACATATTGAATAAGATAATTTTAAAGACTGAAAAAGCAGCCGCGACAGTAAGCGAAAACAAGATCCTGAGTTTAAACTTCAATGCTTCTAATCGCTGAACTACAACAACGTTTATAACCTGTGGACGACCACTATTTCTTGTCGTGTTTGATAAATGGTGGGGAATGACGGCCCAATATCTCTCCCTAATAGTTAATCTTTCGAGAGAGCCAGGAGGGCTTACATACTCAGGCCTCTCAATGGGTGGAAGATATACAAAGCTGTTTGTGTATTTTATAATAACTATTGTAGATTGCCGGTGTTTAAAATAATCCTGCAAATACTTTTCAAAACAGTTGGGCAACAAGTAGTATCGAAATCTGTGCCTATGATGCTGGAAATTGATAGGCATGATTTGGAAATTGGTGGCCAGCAAAATTTCTGTGATACTGCCATGTGACCAATTACGACTGGAAGCAGTAAATCTCACTGACTTTAGTTGCTTTTGTGTCAAAAATAGTTATATTATTTAATTCTACTTTTACGAAAAATTTTGGAATCCTTATTGAAAATTTTGTTTAACTTATTAAACTAACAGTTTTTCCTTTAGATTTTCTCCTTTTTACATCTTTTTTTAAGTGTGAAACATTTTACTTTACATATAACCCGTTCTTTACTGCACATCTGTATTAAGTGGTTTTTAATTTGTCTAAGCTATGTAATTTTTGAAAGAAGTCCGCTTAAGAGGCTATTTTTGAAAGATCTTGAAGAGATATAGAACCCTACAGGATAAGTAGAAGAGCTTTAGTTCATAAAACAACTTCTATATAAACTAAAAATAAACCCAAGTAATTAAGGGTATCGATAGAAGGAAGTGAAGCAATATACCGTAAAACTGTATAACTGATTATAAACCTTTTTTAATGCAATAGCGTAATTTACGTTATCTTACTAAACGCTCATATGCTTAAATTGTTAGGGTCAGGTTAGGTTAGGTTAAGGTAGAAGTAGAGTTAAGGGCTAAGGCGGGGTCCTGAAGATTGAGCATGGGGTGATTAGTTTACTGAGTAGTTTAAGGTATCAAAAAATAACTGAAAGTATAAAGAAAGCGAGTCAATTGAATTAGCGACTGCTATTATTCTCTTGCCAGTAAGACCAACTTATGCCTTTTTAAAAGTTAAATAAAAAAGGTGGACCTAAATAAAGTTATCTACATAATATTTAAGACGAAAAAATTAAAAATTACATCTTTGCAAAGTTTTGATTACCGGGAAAGTAAAACTAAAAATGGTTCTAAAAGATCACTTTTTAGGTCGTAGAGTCCATGTTTTATAGTGATTGTGTTTTCTGCTTGAATCCACTCATTATTAAACTCTTTATCGTAAGTGCTGTTCGGATTTATCTTTTATACTGACTTGTGTGCACAATTTTTTTACCAAATCTTTTTGGTGCATAAAGTAACATCCTTTATTTAAGAATTTGTTTAGTAGTTGTTATTTCTTAGTGATTTCTTATTAAATAGCGAGCGAAGTGATAGAAAGAAGCTCCAGTAGGCCGACTCTTAAAAACTTAAAATAACTAAGTAACTCTAACTCAACAGTAGTACTCGAAGTTTAACTTTTATATATTAATAAACAAACCAAGTTGAAGTGGTATATAACTAAAATTATATATACGTGGGCTCAATATAAGAGAATGAATATAGTATTATAAAAATTAGGTATAAAGAAGAAATTGTAACTACTATAATATATAGAACTTTTGAAAATATGTACAATTAGATTAGCGGAAGTTTTAATTAAAATAATTGTATTAGGCAAATAATAGCCGACTCAAAATTAAATCTAACAAAATTGTGTATAGCACAACCATAAAATAAGAAAAAAAAAGGATGAGCCGCAAAATAATAAGGCGGATAATTAGATCAACAGCCTTTAAAAAGAAATTTATAAAAAAAATTAATAAGAAGTATATCTTTAGGCTTACAAGTACAAGTAATTGCAAGGGCTTCAAAAAAATAGGCTTAATAGCTAATTCTCTATAAGTTAACAAAAACTATTATACCATCAAAAAAATACTTTAAAATTTTAGCCACCTCAATTTTAACATGCCAAAAATATTTCCAAAGTATAGCAAGTGCAACTGAGTGATTTGGTTGTAAACCAAAGGTGAGAAGGAAAGGAACTATAAACCAAAAAGCAAGGAAGTAGCCCTAAAGTATACAAGTTAAAAAGAGCAAAGGGGTTAAAAAAATAATATCAATAAAGCTAAAACTTAATAATAAGCGGATATAAAACAACAGTATAATATTATAATTTATAATTTTATTAAAGCAAATTATTAAACCAAGATGAAGAGTAGTAAGAGAAAAAGAAACATAATAGCATCTTTACCTATTAATGCTAAAGTGCACAAAAAGCAGGGGCGGCTCTGTTGGTAGAGACTTAAAAATATAAAAAAGATAGTAAATTGTTGTGTTACTGGAATTGAGACTGCCAAGCGAGAAAGTAAAAAAAGAGGTAAATATAGTTGAAAACAATACATTTATCAAATTTTTAGTAGATAAAATCGGAAAACATATAGTGCTTTGCCAGCCACCAAAAAGGATGGGCACACACTTATGGGTAAGTTTACAAGATCAAATGGGTCGTATTGAACAATTGTAGTTGACTGTTATAAAGTAGTCTTAATGAATTCGCTAGTTAACCAAGGTTGACCATATAACTAATATTTTACAACTTCTCCTGTATGACAATTATATATAATTTATACAAAATCTTGAGTTAGTTCCCCTTTAATTGTAATATATCATTAGAGCGTACACTTTTAATAACATGAGTTAAAATAAATTTTTGGTAACTAAATATTTTTGTCTATGCTGGCCCAAAGCGCATATTGTTACCCTTATTTAACTTTATTTCTAATTATAAAAATGAATCTTTTTCAGGAACCTTAAGGTACCAGTAGCTCCCTATAACTCGCAATTTAATTGTATATAAGTATTACTAGAAGGACCCCAATTCTGCATAAATTTTTTTATGATAAAGGGAAGGCACGAATTGACTGGCGAAGTAGTAAGTACTAGGAAATAATTATTCTGTGTTTAGCTAACCTTGGGTCCAAGTGCAATCAGTTCACACTTAATCCATTCCATTCAATATCAGTTACAATAAAAAGTCCCAATAATTTTAAAATGACTATAGAGCGTACTATAAAAAGATGTGAAAAGTGACTATTTATTAGTCATAATAATACGAATTCGAACAAAACCCACTACAGAAGTATTGTCTCAGCACTCCTAATTTAGGCGCTAACTGCCCTAAAATAAAAACACGTTGGCAACAAGAGAAAGCAAACGAAGAAAGCGTTTTTTCATAATTTTAACGGATGCTTAGTGACTAGAAAGAGTACTAAATTAGGTGCAATAAATTATTAGTTATTACCTAGCAAACACACCCCAACAATTATAAAACATTTTGGATTAACATGTTAGCTTGCGTGTAGAAAAACCTTGGTTAATATGTCAGCTAGATTGTTATCTGTTAAAACATAGCCTAAATAAAATATTCCAGCTTTCAGTTATCCTCTCGTATACGAAAATAACGGATGTCTACGTATTTTGCTTAACGTAATGCTCTGAAGTCTCATAAACCAGAACTGCAGATTAATTATCCAAAGAAATTTGCACAGCAACACCTTTTTATTACTATTAATAGAACCCTCCTGTGTTTGATCGAGTCAAAAAAAAAACACCCAGTTTACGAGCTCGCAACAGGGTAATAGCCTACAAACTAGACTCATGTTTGTATCAAAGCCATCTCATATATATATACACTCCATTTTTAGTACTAACCCCTTTATATATACAACAAAAAAATTCAATTCATTGCGCGGACGACAATAACGTGCGCCTTTCCATGGTTCGTAACTAACTCTTCTAGTAATCGATTGGTGGGCAGAGTAAGCAAGTCGCAGGTAATAATAGCATTGCGTTGGGAAACGGTAGCCAGAGGCTCAATCTAGAGGTTTTGGTGTATAATACCGTTTGAACAAACCACAGAGCGTCCGTCATGACGCGTAGCATTAAAATTAGTCTCTCTTACAGAGAAGGGGTTTGTGCCGGCGGGTCTTAGACCTCGACAGGAGACGCGCATGTCACAGTTAGGTAGGTACACAAAACATGGAAGAATCGCTTCTTGCGCAAGGGTAGTTTGCTTTTAGCACAAATTAAAGCATACATAGTTTGAGTTGCCACTTTCACCGCTACATAATATACGTGTGGTCGCTTTAACTGCTTAACGTCATTGATTATACCAAATATTTTGCCGTCGAAGGTCAGCGGCTATAGTGGCGCAGTGCACTTTCTCGTGATATAGGGCTTTTGGGCTTTTCATTTTTCCCGCGTTAATAGTAATTTGTCCAACGATAGCTCCAGCTAGCGAGGGACGTTAGGAAAAAAAACTTGCAGACGCTGGCGCAATAAAAACGCTTACTTTGACAAGGAGTAAATCACCGTATCAACCCCATATAAGAAATCCGCGAGTGAAGGTTGTGAGACTGTGGCACGTCGCGCATGGAAAGTGCAAAGAGCGGAAGAGGAGGTGATAGAAGAGATCTTCGTGGGGCCCCTGCCATTAGTAGATTTAGGTATGGGTAACGCCTCGCTCACAAGTGTTTTAAAAGTGCGTCTTTAAGGTAAGATTTGACCACGTTGAAAAAAAACAGGAGGCAGGCTATAAAGCGCAATTTTGTGAAGTAACGCTTTGTATTAAACTCGGTCAAAAGCATTTTTTGACATCAAAAAGGACGGCCACTATTGCCTTCTTTAAAGGGAAGGCGCAGGTCCTCCATTCTGTTAGGCGGAAAATCTGTTGGAGTGTTACACGCCTTTGTCGAAAATCAAAATTGGAATCCTGGAAGGACATCCTGCGACTTTAAATAAATTCTCTAACCATATGGCCTTTATAGCGTTTCGCAAGTGACCATGACCTCTCTTTCCATTGTAGACGGGGCTGTAGTTTGTTAAAATTGAGTTCCAAATACCGGCGCATCAAGTAGTGAGAATAAGATAGTCCCTGATGCCAAGCCTTGTTTTCTTCCAATTACCATAAGCACATTGTTAAATCTTTTAAGATTAAAACTGCTCAGCCCCTGTCAGTAAATGCTATAGCGTTTTTGCAGTCAATCGGGCAAAAACAACCTTTTGGCTTTCCTAGCTAAAATGTTGATAGTGAATGATATACCAAGGGAGCTGGTGATTTCTCTGTAGGGTTCAATTAGTGTTTCTCTTGACGTGTCATCTTCTATCAAACGATGTACAGTGGTTGCGGTATGAAGAGGCAATTGTAACATATTCCTTTTAACTTATTTAACCCTATTGTCATTGTGTACATCGTTCATTAATAAAACTCAAGACAAATGTTTTAGTTACTACTTCCTGCCTTTCCTAGCAACTCTATAGCTTACTAGCTTTCTTTTGATAATTTGGCTTCTTCTAAATTGGTTTGTTTTATTTTTAAACTATTGTTAAGCCCTGTAAACGGAACAAACAGTAGCAAGATAGAGGAGTGCAAAATAGCAGAGTATTTCCTTGTTTTTTTTAATTCTTTGTCTGAATATATATGGACTGCTAGGGCACTGTTAATAAATAGAGATTAATTTTTTTTTTTGAGCACTGGCATAACAATGGCCAATCTTCTTACTAAGAACTTAATCCGCTTAATCTGAATCCCTCTCTTCTGCAGGGTTTGGAGCACGAGTGCCCACCAGTGTAAGTTCTTTATAGAGCTATAATGACTGTCCCGAAGGGCTGGAAAAATCAGAAATTATCGGGCGTGGATGCCCGCCGTGCGGCCTAGTGTGGTGGAAAACCGCTAAAAACCACCAGTGGGAAAGAGGCAAGTCTTAGGGCGCAGTACCCGAGGCCACCTGGAGACACCTGCCAGCACATCTGCCAACCACACCTCCCCGATTATGAGCTCCTCAGACAGAAGGGAGGAGCCCTTGCTCTATAGATTAATTGCGGTGTTCATTGTCTTTTAATCTCGGCTCCGTTTGAAACACATGTGTTGGGGATGATAATTATTATACTTGTATATAATAATATTTGGTTAACATAGTTCCTGCAAAGGACAGCGCGCATGTGGGTTTAAACGTTTAGTCCACGACCCGCTGCAATCTTTCTTTTTCTTGTCTGTTGTGCAGTTAGGTTTAATGCGCTAGGGGAGTCTATAATAATTAAATTTAGAGTGCTTTCTAATACTTCGACTTTCCTATATTATATTCATTATTTGTAAATAAAATACATCTTATCATCTAATATTACATATATTTAAGTCTAATTAAGAATCATAATGTGTATTACCATCTAATATTACATTTATTTACTTATGCTTAAATAAGGATTATAATGTGGACTATTTAACTTAGTTATTAAAATTAAGACTTCACAGAATTTTTTCTTAGTTTTAAAATTTCAAATTAAACTTGCACATATATTAATTTTTGCTTATTGTAAAAGGTTTAATGTATACATATAAAAACTGGCATATCTATAATCTTTGCGAGTATTAAAGTTTATTTAAAAATATATAAGTAAAATAAACTTTTTTTTTTGCATTTTGTTTGGTAACAATATATATAATATTTATTAAGCGTTGTTGTATTTACCCTCTCACATAGTATAAGTTAACCTTAATGATCAAGAAAAGATATTAAACAAGGAGCATAATTGAAGGTGGAACAGCGTTAACAAACCCACTCTGAGGAGCAAACCAAAAAGGCTGTTCCTGACCCTAGAGAGGGGCTTACATACAACTACAAACTTATTCAATTCTAGGTGTGCGCGTGCCTTTATCTGGTATCGGATTTATAACTCGGCACGAATACCCATCCTAACTGTCCAGTATAAAAAGCCATGAACAAATGTAACCAAAGGTTTCGGGTGAAAATAACTTTAAGGTGTTAAGACCTAGTACTATATGATGCCCTCCGCGCCAATTCGTGTTACCATAAGCTAAAAAAAAAAAACAAGAAAAATGCCTAAAGTCGTTTCTTATCTTTCAACGTAAAAAAATTTCAACTGTAGACAATAATTTAAGTAAAAATAGTCTTTATTATTGTACTTCAGCTTTTATAATTAAAACTCAGAAACCGAATTCAATATTTCAAGTACTTTAACAACGACTATTCTCTTAAAACAATTGATAACTACAAGAGGGGAGAAAGTAAGCTTCAAATGTTACCTATTTCCATCGTTGTGTGAAGGCGACGCGTCATCTGCGTTCTTCTTTTTCCCATTCTGCACTCCCCCGTTGCTGGGCTCCTCGCTGATTCCCTAAAAGTTTGGGTGTCAAGAATAAGTCTTTATAGTGCACCGCACAATATAACTGGTCTAGCGGGGCTCGCACCGGAGTTGCGTTCTTCGACAAACTATAGAACAATAAAGTGGTTACAAGGCAACCAAGTGGTGGTATACCTCTTACTTGTTGGTCGTATTCTTCAAGTGACATTTTCATGGCAAGTTCAATTTGCTCTTCCTCCGTTAAAAGTCCTTAAAAAAGTATTTATGAGTCTATAATGACACAAGTAATTGTGCCAGCACCGAGGTCAACGTGCTCCTCTTCAGAATCAAGATGGGCTCGTTTTTCTTGTCCCTATAAAAAACCTTATTAAGATGATTTTTCTAAAAACAATTTTAAAATTACGTTTTCGTTTGCAGGGCTGTCAGATGGTATATTAGTTGATAATCCTTTCGCACACTCTAAATCCGAATTTTTAACAAGTTGAGCTTTTTCTTGTCTCTCTCGCTCTTCTTCAGCAGAAATTCGAAGAACCTAAACACGTTAAACTGTTTAAAAAGTGTAGAAACAGAGTAAGAGGGAACGTCAAGAAAAAAACCATGGCCAGGTCGGGGTCAAGATTGGAATCAACTCCAAATTCATCAAATTGGGAGACATCGCCGCCTAGTACGGGAGAAGAAACCTATATTTGCTGCCAGCTTTAGTGCTTCCTCAACAGTGCTTAAAAAATAGCTACCAGAAAGTCGGAGAGCACACCAGAATCGCCAGGAACCCAAAGAAGGTGGCTGGTACCATCTTTATCAACCACACCAACAAATTTTTCTAGCTTCTCGTTATTTTGAACCTATTTATGAGTTTAGTAATACTAAAACTAAAAATATAAAAATAAAAATGCCTCTCCGAAGTTGATAATGTCTACCGAAATGTTCGCCTTTCTCAAAATTTTGGCTACCTAAAAATAGTGAAGGGACAAAAAAAATTAATATATATTTTTTAAAAAAACTGGTAAAACTCAAAAGAAAAGCTTAAGTTCATAGAGTTTTATAAACAAGGGGTTTCTTGCGAATAACTAACTTACGGTAACTTAAAAAATATAAGTTGCTGGAAGAGAACTAATTCCGAAATTCTACTCCCCTCCCCTCAACAAGTTTCAGCTAAGAACAAAAAAACGAAGTCAAGTACCTTAACAAGATCAGAAATCTCATCCTCTACCGGACTGCCTACAAATGCTACAATGCGTTGGCGCTGGTTTTTGTTAGGCCGATGGCGTAAAACTAACTGCAAATAAAAGTTGTATAATAAAAGACTCAAGTTAACCAGGTGCCTGACTTGCCTTAGAGATTTGAAGACTTTGTAAAAAGTATATTTTCCCGCTTATGTTAACTTCTTGTATACAGTGCAAAATTTTTCCCACATCTTGAGTCAAAGAGCAGAGCACGTTAGGTCTGTTAAATTTTATAAAAATTATAAGTTCTATTAGCAACGAAAAAGTAAACTAGTCAACTTTATTAAAACGTAAACCTATTGGCCATGGATAAAACAGCCAAAGAATTTTCTGGATTAAACTGCATTTTAGCTCCGCAAACAAGGTTGACAGCATCCGATTGAGCAGCAATTCGTGTTGGAGAAAAATCACCATTTCTCATCCACTCACTATTATCCAAGCTGACAAATTTAAGATTAGGAAAAAAACCTAAGCAAAAAGCGATGTATATGTGGTATATAACAGTAACCATACAACTGTAGCTTCCAAAACCATATTTATAAAGTTTTCACAACTACAGCGGTGAAACCATTAGGAGAACCCCCACAGTTCAAACGTAGGACCCTTAGCTGATTTAGTTCACTCCCTTCATTTAATTTGTAACAGACTACCAATACAACTTATTTCTTTGTATCGAAAACTCACATACATGCAGCCCCGTTTTATATATAATGTGAGCAGTCTATTAATTTAAAACCTTCCATTCCGGAGTTCTACCCGTCTTTTACTATGTTTTGCGGCTAACTTTATTGGCATATATAGGCTAAGACACTTATAATACCCATTTTCATCCACTTGGGCTGTGAGGTCTGGGGGGTGGTGTTCTCTTGTCATAGATTGCTCCCCCTTCTCCACAGGACGCGACGTCAACATGGCCGGCAAGCTTAGAATAAAAGCTGAACTAATAACATCAGGTCTCTAAGAGTGCCGAACACGAGAGAGAATAAAATTTTTTGCTATAATAGCTTACGAGACCACCTCTCAACTTTTAAAAAAGAATCATATCCTTTTCCTAAATCTTCAGGTCATATCTAAGCTGTCTTTTTAAAAAAAATTTTTAGTACAAGTTTTATTTCTAAAGTTATTAATACTTTGGGCACCATATCATCGGTTGATCCGGATGGATAAGCAGAATAATTTTCGGTTTCTTAAAATATACCTGAAAGCTTACATAAATTTATATTGGGGCCGTTTGTTTAGCGTGTTATATTGTTTTTAAGAATTAAAGGCATTTTTTTATATATATATATTTTAATTATTATGGTTATCTTCTTTTTAAAAAATTTTACCAAATCTCCAGTATATAAGATATGTAAAGTATGAAGATAACATTTAGATATGAAAAGTCAAAATTTTTGGCCTTGGTTTCCAAATTGTGCTGTGACTGGATTTACCTGTTTTAACCTTTGCGGTCATAATCTCCACCCAGAAGTCAAAGGCTCAAAATATTTTGACCGTGTTCCTGACGAAGTTTATGTGCTTCCATTTATTGCATAAATTCTTAGTGGATATAAAAGGAATTCAACTTAAGGCATGTTTTTGGTTAAAAAGGGGTTATATAACAAAATTTATTTTTGCAATTTTAAGTTTATATTAATAAAATATATATTAGCAGTCAGTACAGGGTTCTGTGGGGAAAAAATAAGAATGTAGCATCGTCATTAAAAGATACGCTGATAAAAACCAGCGTTGTAACGGTCTTAGCTGAAGCGAGCGGAATCTGCTGCACCTACCAGATATTTTTACTGAAAGCGTATTTCTTAATCATAGATTTTGTTTCTGAAGGGATGACGCCTATAACATTTCTCGAAAGCTCTGTCCTCGTTGTATGGACTTTATTAAAAACTGTGCATGTAATACTATTCCCTATGCTTACTTATTGTCCTGCCGATTGTAAAAAACTAGCTCACTTCCTCAAAAATAATTTTGTTGTAATTTATGGAAAACAATTTTAGTAGATAGCGGCGCTAGTCTACGTTAATTCAATTTTTAAGTAAATTTGCAGCGTAAGAATCGACTCCAATATCTATAAAGATGGTCGAGGAAATAAATCGTAGTGCAACCTATAGAGACTTTGCGACTATAATCGGTCTAGGGTTACAAGCTCATTGTTGCAAAGACATAAATGTTAATCTTTTTTCCGTTAGCAAGTTTATAAAGAATAGCTACCGAGATGCTAAAAAAGGTTGCCGCTGGTGGCGGTTAGCCACTCTCCTGTTCAACAAGGATGTGGAAGATTGTCAGTTACAACATTCCAATCTTGCGACCCCTTACATCCTCGGCACACTCTGCGCCAGCTTCAGTGCTTCTACAAACCCTTAAAGAACCTCCATAATTACTACATTTCACTTAAAAAAGCACTTACTAACTGATGCCGGCAGCGGGGAGTGACTATTAATACAGAGAAAAGTAGGGCAATTCTCATGTAATGAAGACGCACTGCACTATCCCCCTCCCCTGACCTTTGGAGGTTAAAAGATCCCCTGGGGCTCTCAGATCAAATACTTGGGGGTCATCATCAGTGAATGACTACCTAATCGGAAAATTTTTGGTGGAGATTAACGGTCCAAGCGGTAACTCACGCGCTCCACTCCTGTTGAGGATAGGCTTAAAGTTCCTACGCAATAAACTGCGCGTATAAAATGTGCTTGCGCCCTATTATGTCCCACGTATCTGTTGCTTGGAGTTATGACAAACTATCGATGTTTGCACTCCTTGAGACCAAACAAAAGCTCCTGGGGCTTATAAACGGCGCGATTAAAGTCTGATAAAATAAAAAGTTAATAAAAAATCTCAAACTAGAACACAATATAATTAAAATATTTCCAAATATAGAATGGGACAGTAAGTCAGATTATTGGTAGAGAAAATTTTAAAATTTTGTAAAACCCAAAAAATTGTTAATTATAATAATTACAAAAACCAAGAATCTCATTGACTGAGCTCCCGAAGTTCATTGGTTAGCAGTATCCGAAGATTTAGTATATATAGAGAGGAGTAACCAACAAATAAAACTACTTTTAACAATTTATTATACTATTCTATCAAAGTATTTGCAGGTTTTGCTCCTTTTAAAAGCGTTAGAGGGCTCAAGAGCTTACATGCGAACCCTTGATAGATGCACGCTTTCGTCGACCACCCGATGTGCTTTAATCGCACACATTCTTCGTATACCTCTACACAAATATGCCCAGAAGACTTGCAGAAATAGTACAAATACACGAGAATATAACAATAGTGCTTATGGTAATTGGAAGAAAACAAGGCTTGGCATCAGGGACTATCTTATTCTCACTACTTGATGCGCCGGTATTTGGAACTCAATTTTAACAAACTACAGCCCCGTCTACAATGGAAAGAGAGGTCATGGTCACTTGCGAAACGCTATAAAGGCCATATGGTTAGAGAATTTATTTAAAGTCGCAGGATGTCCTTCCAGGATTCCAATTTTGATTTTCGACAAAGGCGTGTAACACTCCAACAGATTTTCCGCCTAACAGAATGGAGGACCTGCGCCTTCCCTTTAAAGAAGGCAATAGTGGCCGTCCTTTTTGATGTCAAAAAATGCTTTTGACCGAGTTTAATACAAAGCGTTACTTCACAAAATTGCGCTTTATAGCCTGCCTCCTGTTTTTTTTCAACGTGGTCAAATCTTACCTTAAAGACGCACTTTTAAAACACTTGTGAGCGAGGCGTTACCCATACCTAAATCTACTAATGGCAGGGGCCCCACGAAGATCTCTTCTATCACCTCCTCTTCCGCTCTTTGCACTTTCCATGCGCGACGTGCCACAGTCTCACAACCTTCACTCGCGGATTTCTTATATGGGGTTGATACGGTGATTTACTCCTTGTCAAAGTAAGCGTTTTTATTGCGCCAGCGTCTGCAAGTTTTTTTTCCTAACGTCCCTCGCTAGCTGGAGCTATCGTTGGACAAATTACTATTAACGCGGGAAAAATGAAAAGCCCAAAAGCCCTATATCACGAGAAAGTGCACTGCGCCACTATAGCCGCTGACCTTCGACGGCAAAATATTTGGTATAATCAATGACGTTAAGCAGTTAAAGCGACCACACGTATATTATGTAGCGGTGAAAGTGGCAACTCAAACTATGTATGCTTTAATTTGTGCTAAAAGCAAACTACCCTTGCGCAAGAAGCGATTCTTCCATGTTTTGTGTACCTACCTAACTGTGACATGCGCGTCTCCTGTCGAGGTCTAAGACCCGCCGGCACAAACCCCTTCTCTGTAAGAGAGACTAATTTTAATGCTACGCGTCATGACGGACGCTCTGTGGTTTGTTCAAACGGTATTATACACCAAAACCTCTAGATTGAGCCTCTGGCTACCGTTTCCCAACGCAATGCTATTATTACCTGCGACTTGCTTACTCTGCCCACCAATCGATTACTAGAAGAGTTAGTTACGAACCATGGAAAGGCGCACGTTATTGTCGTCCGCGCAATGAATTGAATTTTTTTGTTGTATATATAAAGGGGTTAGTACTAAAAATGGAGTGTATATATATATGAGATGGCTTTGATACAAACATGAGTCTAGTTTGTAGGCTATTACCCTGTTGCGAGCTCGTAAACTGGGTGTTTTTTTTTTGACTCGATCAAACACAGGAGGGTTCTATTAATAGTAATAAAACCTTTAAGAGAGGCATATAAAATAATTTAATTTTGGCTGCGCAAGTGCTTTTTCCTGGTATCGGCAGTTTATAAATTTATACCAATATCCCACCCTAACTGCACATTAGTTAAAATTCATAATAATGAAAATTCGGTTTCCTTTTTTTTATTAAAATATTTGGGTTTTGCCTATTTTTTTTTTTTGTTAATTTTTGTTCTGTATTTTTGCGTTTAATATTTTTTTATATTGTATTTGTATAGTGTGTTTTTGTGTTTAAGGCTCACTGTTTTCCGTGTTAGTCTGCTTCTTGCGTTTAGTAGCATTGCCGGGCTATTAAAATTAGTAAAATATAATTTATCTTTCCTGTACTGAATAACTTTATTATACTTTGGTCACTAAATTTGATGGTGTCACTGCACAAGCATAACAAAAAAAAATTTTTTATATGTAACCACGACATACTTAAATACTCACCAAGATTTAGCAACGGACTTAGTTTCACCTTAAATTTTTAAGGCTTGTACATTTACTGAGCTCCGGATAACGACAGCATTTGTTTGCATTCGAAATTGGAGTGCCCTTAAATCCTATAGACTACTATCCTATAAGTTTTCCGTCACGCGTTATCAATATAGTGAAGGTGATAATACTTTAGCTACTGCGAAAGTCTAAACAGCAGCTCTTACGTTTTTACTAACACTTTACACAAGGGATTATAATAATAATCGACGTGTGCATTATTTTTCGAGAGAGTAAGCACGTTAAATTTTTAGTGAAGTTATCAATCCTGAAGGTACCAGATTATCTTCTTTCGCTTCTTCAGTCTGTTCTGCATCAGAGGGGGGGAAACTAGCTCAGTTCTGAAAACTATAACGTCCCTAAAGGTAAACTTTATTTTCACGAAGGTGGTTGAAGGTTTT